CAGATGGCTTCACGTTTTGAATACAGTTTAAAAGCTAGTTTGAGGCAACTGTAGATGAATGTATTAGGAAGATTGATAAATTAGGAACAATACCAATTGGCGCTATACCTAATTATTTAAGTAATGCAATATGGGTGTCCGTGGATCTGTCTCCAGGGAACCTTCTTTCACACAGGTTACTCCAAGCAGAGGTCCCACTCACACTTCCATACTCCATCTGACAGTGTGGCGTAATAGCCCGTAAACTAAGAATGGGCCTGATGGCGACTTGTTGGACCTGTTCGATCTGCACCTCCTTTCCAGTGGTGGGGCATTTGGCGAGCGAACCGTACTCTAGTAATGTTCCCTTTGTTGCAGGAGAAAAGGCGAATGGCAACCCCTTCAAACCAGATGCAGAAACTGTGTTTGAGTGCCCAGAGCATGCGCACTCTGTTACGATATAACCTATTCGTGTGGTCCATTGACTTCAAATCGCAGAGCGCGACTACTCCTAGGTCCTTCACAAGATGTGTGGGATGTATCAGTTGCTCATCAGTGGTTTGCGTTCAGCCATCGCCATCCTTCCCCACGCTCATGGATGGCGAATTGCTCTGGTTGGTAGGGAGACGCAGTTTCGTAGATCATGTGGAAAGGCAGTTGAGCTCTTGCTGAAGTAGGTCGCAATCGTGTGAAGTGTTTATCATCCTACATATATTCAGCTTGGCTGCAATCATAGCACACGTTGACCGTAGATCGTTGAGTTAAAATCATGTACGATTTGGGTCACAGCACCGTGCCTTGCGGTACGCTACTGGTCGAGGAATACCACTCTGTTTGTTGGCTATCGACTTGTGCTCTCCGCTTTCGTCCAACGAGGAACTCGCGGATCCACTGGTGCAGTGAGCCTTTACCAGTACACAATCTCTGCTTGTGGAGGAGGACTTCATGGTTCAACTGGTCAGATGCTTTGCTAAAATTGATGCATCTCATGTCGACGGACTCCCCTGGCTGACTGCTTGCAACCATTCATGCCTCGTCACGAGCCGAATGGGGATGCATGAAAGCCTTGGCATGAAACCGTGATGTACGAGCATTGGGATATGTTTTGACCAGAACAACTGTAGCAGACACTTCCCAAGCTTCTCTGCAACCTTGGTCTAAATAGGTGTCAAACCAGTTGGCCTGTACTTATCCACTTTGCTGGGGTTACCGCCTTTCGGAATCATCATTACCATCGAGCATTTCCAATCATTCTGCATTGAACTTACGGACATCAACCTGATGAACAGGTCAGTCACAACATGCTAGTTGATGACCGATAGGGAGTTGGAAGTCAGTACGTAGTGCACGTTAGAGCCAGCAGGTCTGGCGCCGTCAGAGTCAGCGAGTACTTGATGCACCTCTTCTACAGCACAATCCAATCTCGAATTCTGTAGGGGTTGTGCATTTCAAACTCGGTGCGAACACATCGTCTTTTGCAAATACGGAAGCAAAGTGCTCCGCTTATGCGGACGCACCCTCAGTGCTGGAGATGAGTTGCTGTTCGTCGGAGCCTTCTATCACTGGTAAGTCACCTGCAGGCCTTAGGCGCCGCTTCACATAAGCAAAAGCTTTCTTCACTGAGGTTACAAGCTGCTTTTTGAAATGCGGATGCTTGCTCATTTTGCACTATTGCAACTATTACGCTGCCTCATAGTCTTGGACTGAGCCAGAAATAAGGAATTTATCCCACAGTCTGCACTGCAGCGAAGCCAGTTTACCATATTCTTTGTCGAACCAATATGGTCTGAGCGGTCCGACTTTTCGACACATGGGAATCACAAACCCGATACACAATGACTTTACTCCATTCTTTAAAACCCGTTCAAGCTTCAATGGATGCAGTTTGAGAAAGAGACCAGTCTACTTGGCTCGCGGCTCCAGTGAGGCTGTCGAAATCCGTCTTACAGCAATTGCCAACTGGCTGAAATGCGTAAGACTACTGCAGTGTAGCTCCATGTTGTCAACGAGACCTGATTGGGCGCATGTTGCCAGGAGCTCCAGGATCTGGACGTCATACACATATCCATTGCATGTTAACATCAGGTCTAAACACGATCGCGGTATTATGCGGGTCGGTTGATGGATGTGTTGTGCTGCCTCATTTTTCAAATACCATTTCAGCGACCTTTGCTCCGGCCTCACAATGCCCGGGCATGGGTTGTACTTCAGGCCAGTATGTTCGAGAACCATTGCAATCGCCTGTGAGTAGAAAATAGTGGTGACTCATTTGATCCCGGAGATGTGTCAATCAATCCAAACAACGGCTCAGGGAACTGCGGTAAAATGCACCGACCAGCATCTCCGCGTCTAATGTGGGTCGAGCACCAAAACCGTTCACATGGACCATTGTCACTTTAGTGGATGCTCACAACTCCACGCAGAAGAGATTGGATACAGAGAAAGACGCTACCACGAGCATTCGATAGCCTATTACGGCGGAAACACGTGTAACTACTAAGCTCAACTTCCTGAGTTTCCCGTCTGTGGGAGTCCCGCATGTGCTCACTCAAAAGCAGTGCAGGGCACTGCTCATAACGCTTTTATTAGACTGCAGACGTTCATGAAAGCTACAGATTGGCCACGGTAATAACTATCGGGTGTGCGCGACTAATGTAATTCAATTTGCGTTCGTTATCTAACCACCCGAAAACTTACAAAACCTAGCTTTGTTTCTTCCATACCGGTTCGCCGCTTTAAATCGCTGATGGCACACTTGAGACGCTCTCGATCAGTTGAATCCATATCCAGACATTTGTGCATCCTCTCACTTCTCAACCTACTCAGCTGTGACAGCCTTAGATTCGGACCAGCCTCGTCGGCAATAGTAATCCGCATAGGCCGATCCTTCTAAGCATTGTTTTTTCGAGGCTGATGACGATTTACTTTCACTCCGTCCTCGCCCACATCGAGAAGCCCATCAACGAAGCTCTATAGAAACTCAGCTCTCGAAACAGCACAGCGGCGTCAATGTTCCGATAACAAGTGACTATTAATGAGTAGTACAGAATTTATTGTGCTTTTTCGAAGCTTCGTCGCGGCTAGACTTAGTCAAACAGTCCCCACACATCCGGAAACTCGCTAAGCAGTCGTTTCGTCTTATCCCGTCTCTTCTGTAATACATACCCACCGAATCCTGCCAGATTCGAGCCCATGACCTTACTCTTAGGAGTCCGTGACACATGCCACTGAACAATGGGTGCTGGTGGCGGACCGCCATGATTGATATTCAATTGTGATATGGCGCAGTAATCGCTTTAGCAGCTCACATGCCACGTCCATTGGGGTAGGGTTGTTCCGGGGCCAGCCCTGTCTTCTGCACGTTCATAACATGCATGATGGTGGTGGTTGCAGGATGTTCTTTAGCCTGAGGTACTCAATGAATCCGCTGGCAGCTGTAAATCTGTCCTCAACTTCAGGCCTTGAGCAGCTAGGGCGAATAAAGATATTAGCTGACGAAATTAAGCGATTATCGTTCAAGTATCTTGGTGTGCGTTTTACGACTGAACAGCTGGTGCCTTGCGAGCTGTAGCAAAAAGTGCTTTTCGTTTATTTGCATCATAGAATTGCTATCTGTGATAACACCACCGTTCTGTTAGTACACGGACGGTCAACTCGATAATATATAAATCCCTCAAGTTCCATGTCAGCGGGAAGCCAGGTTTTTTGTAGCAAAATCATACTTAATTGAGAGTATTCTAGGTAATCTATTACAGTTGTGGGGTCTTTTCCAAGCAGCGATCGGATATCCGCATCGAGTATAGTAGGTATACTCATACTTCCGAGGCTTCTTGTCCACAGTACAGCCCTCCCTCCGGCACATTGTTTTCGTCTAACATTTCTTCGCTTCTTCTTGATACGCCTTAGTTAATTTTGTGCAGTTTCTCCAGCGAACCGTGACCGATTCGTACGCAAAAGAGCACGTGCGTTTCGAAGCAACGCGAGTGTAAACAATCATGTCACTATTCCCAGAACAGATTATTGAGGAGTTGAAATAAATCTGTTCCTATGCAGTTCCAAAAGGTATGGGTCAAGTTAAGTCCATTGGGAGGAAATTATAGAGCACAGCCAAATTTGTAGACGCCGTATTTAGGTTTTTGTAGGAGATCGCCTGGCTGCATTGCCCACTTTAGTTCGTGGGATCATTACGTCTGACTAAGTTTGTCTTGCTGACTCGTACACTTGCAGCGAATGTCCGTTCATTGCTTGTAGCTAATCTTCCATGGATCCTGCGTTCGAGACCTGCTATCTCCACCTGATGAGATTAAATAAAGTCGAAAAACGTCATTATGTGCAACGTTTTCGGGCGGACAACACCCGATTTCCACCTTCGTTTTGTTTATCAGATTTAAGCGTGCCTATGGCTGTACAAGCAGTCGATTCCATACCAGCGAAAGGCGAAGTCAGTGACTGCTAAATCGTTTCACCTTGCAGTGCGGAACCCAGGTGGCGCCATTTGTGTTCTGTTGGAGACGTTACAGAACATGTCTCAGTGCTGGCAGAAGTGGTCTTTTTTGCTGTCGTCCCTTAGCTCTACTCCCATTTTGACTTTTCTGATGTCCAGTTTTCTTTTGGATAATGCTTATTACTTCATGGGACGGTTAAGTTCGCTTGGAAATTCTCTCACTGATGCCTTCCGTTCATCGCACCATTACCAGTTCTGTGTGACTGTTCGTTGTTCCCTCAACCTGAACTTAAATGCTTACTTTAAGTGTTTATTTTTTACATGGAGTGTCGCCCTCATGCTCCAGAGTAATAGAATCACTATCGTTAAACGGCGGCGAAACCTTACTGCATTACATTGTCGATTATGAAACTTCGTTGTGGACTTTCTTGCACTTTTCTCACTCACTCATTCCGATCGTCCTATTACATTCACGTACTCATTCTGCTACACTATCTGCTGTCGATTGATTACTCGTGCATTGTTGTGATTTTGAATCTGCTGGCTTACTTCTCTCTGTTTACTTGTCATTTAAAAGCTTAGAGAAGATGACCTGTACAAGATACACCTGATTGACTCCTCTCAATACTTGTTAATGGAGCTTGACATTCCACTACCCGCTACCAACGCCGTTCCATCAACGGCTCTTCCTGACGTAACCTCGGTCGAGAATTTGTCCCATTTCTCTCCTGTGACCCTCGGAGTGAGCGTTTCTGTCCGACCTTTCTTATCCTCCTCGAATCGTGGCTCTAAGTCAAGCAAATGGTCCGCTAACGCAGTGTTTGTGCGCACGCTGATCGAAGGAGGCCCTGCACACAAGGTAATCGCGTTTCAAGCATGCGATTCGTCCTCTCTTTGAATCCATTGTATGTACCTGATGAATCTTTTTTCAACTTCGCTTTCTACGCTTGCCAAGAGGTCCGTTTCTTATTTGTTAGAGGCTTGCAGTTGCTTAGACCAGACCGTTGCAACCAGGATCAGTCAGACATCTGAGCATTTGTTTGGCATTATTCCTTACCACTATCTATCAGTGTCCAGCGGCCCAACTCACCGCCTAGTTATGGAATAGTCGTAGGTTCAAATTTTGCCGAGAAATTTGCACTGCGTTAGCGGTTAAAGGCTGCAACTATCAACATGAGCACATTGTATTTGTACGCACGAATGAAGCGTATTCTTCGAAAATTTAACAAGCACCTATCTTCCTTTGTTTTCTATTCGCAAGCGAGCTGCGATGGCGGCTCTTAGGCGTCGATGTTACTTGTTAATCGCACAATTCCTCCTGTTACTACTTTATCCCTCCGCATCAGCGAAGTTTTCCATCAGCCTAGTAATACCGTGCCTCTCTCGATGATGCCACATAGCTAGTGAATCAACATCAAGGCCGTGTGCTTGATCCATGAATTCTTTCCACTATGCTTTCTATTCGTTTACAGTACATTGCTAGAGCTCACCCCCACACACCGCTTTAGCTGGTATATATTGTGCAAATTCGCTTATTGGACCCATACCACAGCCCCGCTAATGTCTCTCAATCGTCTAATGATTACTCACTGCCCTAACTTGTTCCCTTTGAACCCAAATGGCTAAGTATCACGCCACGTGTGCCACTTGCTTAAGTTATAGTTCGCACAGGACTGGTCAACTGCCTTGGTGATCAAATCTACTTGTTAGCTTAGTACCAAGTTATTATTTTACAGATATTGACACTCACGGTCGCTTTAGATCACAAAGTTCGAGTGCTAATCATAGCTTGTCGTGATGGACTGAAGAAATCCACTTTGGCTCCTGTATGCTCTTTGATACATCTTTCGTTGCTACTTGATATTACAATCAACCACAGCCAATTACGTTAGAACCGCATTTCTTATCACTACCCTGTTACCATCAAGTATTATGACGTGTTCACAATCAAGGCGCTTTTTCGTCTATCTGAAATCTCAATCTCTTTGAGCCAATGGGCCACTTGAGTAGGATATCTGAGAATTATCTGTCGGTTTTAGAACCCATTTAATTCCCTAATCGATCTTCTACTTTTTTAGTTGTCGAGCAAAAAACGCTTGTTATCGCAAATGAGAGTGCCACGAGTTACACCCTGGTATCCGACACTGTCTTTTAGCGCCTTAAGTGGAAACGGCTTTGGCTGATGTATTACTTTGTTTTAACAAGACATCTCGGAACTGTGGACATGACCACATTTTCCATAGTTGGGTTCTGACGACCAGGAATCCATTTTACTGACGACCTTCTTATATGGCTATCGGCCGGTGCTGTGTATTTCGAGGGCACGAGTTCGAGCCTGCGTAGGGACCGAGCAACCCTCGCAGTATCCTCAGCTCCCGCGCGACTTAGTGATGGTGCGGCAGCGAGGCATCGGTACTGCGTACCGTTGTACTGCTGATAGATTGCATCAAACATTTTTTGAATTATATTTCGCACTGTTTTGTTTCCTGTGCACTAGCTTGCTTCTCAGTCTTTTTGTCATTCTTATTTAACTGCATCTCTGGTGTCTTGCGTCCTTTACTAGGATGGACGTCTCCAAGCTGGGGACCGGCTTCTAACAATTGATGGTGAGCCTCTTTCTGGTCTTTCTGGAGCAGATGCACTTGTGAAACTCAAGTCCGTGATTGCTCGCGATCTGGCTACCAGGCAACCTTGTGTACGACTTCTAGTCGCTCGGTCACGAACCTACGTTGACTCTGCTCACGAAACTTCCACTTCAACTGTTGCTAAGACTAAGTCGCATGGCGATGGTGACAACAACTGTGGTTCCGAAGTCATCGAGCAGCATCACGCGAAAACCACTATAACCTCTCACACTGTATGTTTATCGGTTCATCTCTCGTTATTGCTTTTCCGAAATTTACATTGGTTTTGGGGTTATCTGTTATTTAAAAGTTCTTATTTTTGCTCAAATCCAAGTGCAGATCCGACTGATTGGCGGCTCCTGAGTCCTTTTTGTTAACGTCAAATAACTGCAACCCTTAGCGCTGTTTTCGCTGTTCATTGTTTGATGATCCAGCTAGAGATTGATGGCATCGTAGCTCATGTGTAACGACCTTAGAAGAGCATCTACTTTATATGAAATCAAAAGCTCGAAAATCTGCGTTGGCACAGGTATCATGCTAGTGGCTCGTATCACTGCGGAAATCTTCTACACGATGACTTACTTCCCTGTAACTGAATCCAGATGGAAACTACGACAGAACACCAAAGCCAATTTTGAGCTCACTGGAACTGATCTCGGTACATGAAATTTTATAAACCTAAGTCATCGGCTCTCTTTATCTCTTCCATGGCTCAATTACGCTTCCTCGTTTAATTTTCTTTCACAAGCAGTACGTATTCATGTGGTGTCCACTGCTTCACCGTGCAATTCAAATCGATCTACAGCACTTCGCAGTCTCACCGATTTGGTCAGAAAAATTACGTGCGGATAGCATTGGCAGCCATAACGTGTTGAGAAAGCCGATCATAGTAGCGCACCTGTTCATTTTCGGATACCAGGTACACCTTATCCCAGCTAGCGATTCAATAAGGTTAACCATTGACTCGGTCAGGCATTTTAAGGCAGGACTGAAAACCTTGTTTCATCTCTTAATAAGACCATGTTAACCACACTAGTTGTGATACCATCTTGCAACTCAGGTGTTTGTCTTCTCAGCTACATCGTTCACTTAATTTTAGTCGGGCGTTACTGTTCCACTGCAGCTACAAAGTAGATGACCGCCCAAAGGAATAAAAAGTACGCTCGCTACTACTGCTCTTCACTGTTACACGGCTATCTGCCACAAACTTGAGTCTGTGGATAGCGCATGGAAATTCGGCATCGCATTCTGTGTTGACCACTGTAGCACTAGCTGTCTATCACAAATTCAACATTTGTGATTCCACTTTATGCTATTGGCTTGTGCTTGAGTAAAAAGAGGCGCTTTGTCCATCCGGGTCTCGTTTGGCGTTAGACTTGAGCACATGAAATTTTCACGCGACTATCATAATCGCAATAGCTCCGCTCAACGCCCTCACCATTTACTCTTAAATCCTATACCTATGAGTCCAAATGGGTATAAAACCGTCGATCCTTGAGTACAGAGATAAGAGAGAGCCACACCGAAACCCTCTATGTCAGTGACGATCCCATTGATCTTCTTGGCAGAAGCTGATTTCAAAGTCAACCGAAGTAACAATTGAGATTGCGTGTCACAATCTAGGACATACGGTGGGATGCTCCAAACCCCGTAAATTTATCATTTGATTTGTTTTTATTTTAACAACTTTGGTCCTTTAAACTTCTCCCCGTTTGCCTCCCCCTTTTGGCCAGTCCTATCTGAAAGGAGCTCAACGATAACTTTTGGTTTTATTTTCTTCTCCCTCAATTTGGTCATTCTCCTCCGAGCACTACTTCAACCACCTAGCAGTTACCACTCAAAAGTTATGCGTTTACATTGGTTGACTACAGCAACCGGAATACTTTGTCTGTAGCCCTACTTATCCTCCTACCTATTCCCTCATTGTTTCAATACAGCCGAATGTTTGTTCCTTTGCTTTTCTTTCCTCCTTTCATCACTTTTCCTATATGTTTTACTTCACCAACATTTTTTGTTGCATTTCATACAATTGGCTGGAATTTACCTGCTGTTCTGGCGTCTCGGTTTGACTTATAACTACTTGTTTATCATCTTGTTCCTATATTTACTCTGCAGGACCTTTCGGCGGATTCCCCTCCTGTTCCCGTTAACTGCTCCGTGGTAGTGCCCGTAGAGGTTCATAATCCAAATGGATTACAAACCGCGACCGTACACAACACGCCTCGGTCTTCCGTATCTGATCCGGCCCATCGGTCACGCCGTCTCCATGCTATGCAGTTTTCCTTATCTTCTGAATCTTTACCTGTGGCTATGAGTCAAGATACTTCATTTCCTCGCGTAAGTGTGCTTGTCCGCCGGCACTTTTGCAAAGTACATCTTGTGAGACCATTTACCCATCAACCTATGCGTCCGCGTACTGTTTTATTCATTTTGAAACCGTCCATACATTATGAGGCCCGATTTATCCCTGTGTTTATATTTAATTCATTTTCCTGCTCATCTAATTAAAGTTCGTTTCCATTCTTCCAGTGCGTTACATCATCCGTTCACTATCTATCGTGTAGTATTAAACGTGATTTCTGGTTTTTTAAAAGGCACCTTCGTTGGCACATTGATCGGGTTCGCTGACTCTGTCCTCCATGACTTCTCGGGGCTTGTCACATTTGATGTTGAGCATCACTCTCTCTCTCTCTGCGTTGAGCAATTATAAGGAATAAGACGCGTCTTTGTGGTGTGGCAAACCTAGAAATTCGTACAACTTTCACGGACTCTCCACTCGAGCACTGATGTATCAAGGTTTCACTTTTGTTAACATAATACCGCAACGTAACCGAAAGCTGATTCACATCAGCCGACCTCGGTGTGAATTCACTGCTGAGTGTTTTAAGCAGTCGTTTTCAATCTCACAGCAACTCTCGTTTAGGCTTTCAAAATATCACGATGTATTTTTCTGGCCATGTTCATTTTAGGGTGTCCTATTAACCGAATGAACCACCCAACGTCTCACATTCTTTGCACGTCTCCACGGATGTTTTCCGTTTTACAAGATGCCCCCTCATTACGAACGAGTTGTCACCCTGGAAGGATTCTTTTTGCATTATTCTGAGACCGTCGTTACCTGCCCATCTGCTGTGGGTTGAGTTGACCAAAGATGCGGTGCGCTTGGAATAGACCAACCTCTTTTCTGGGTGTTGTATTGCTCTCCGAGCTAAAAGATTATTTTGCTGACGTTTCGCTGCCAAGACATGCAACATCGTCAGTGCGGCTTCAAGGTCCTGTTTCGCAGAACCTCGTAAGCGACTTCGAGATCTAATTACTTAATAATAAAGCTCTGCTTTGAATACCAGGCTTCACTAAACTCACGTGCTTGCCTCCTTGTGACTGTCCCGAAGATTTTGTGACGCTCCAGGTCGAATTGGTGGTCTTCGGCATCCATATTCACGGACACTAAATAGTTCTTATCGTGACGACAGATGGCTAGACTATGTTCATGTAGCCGTTTGCCAATCTTTCTCCCTGTTTGTCCTACGTTGTATTTGTCACAGTTTCGACAGCAGATATTGTAGATTACACCGGACATTTCGCACTTGCTAAGTTTATTTCGAATTGTTTCTGTTGGTTGATGGACAAGCAACAAACGTCTCGCTGTCATTTAAGAGGTTCCGTTGATGTAATGCAACACGGCTCGCTTTTTAACCGTTGTGTTTGTTGAGGTACGTTGCGTTGCCTTATGTGGGACCAAGCAACGCAGAATGAAGCCTTTTGGGTACGAATTCCGTCTTAACAGACTAAAGAGATAGTCTTCTTCCGCCTGCCTCAGCTGCTGCGTACTACAATGTGTCAGTGCTCTTTGGAAAACGGTTAGCACGTAGCTACGTTTGTGGACTGCCGGATTATTGCTGTTTTAGTTGCGGATCTGGCCCTATGTGTTGATTTTCGCTATACCGTCGTTTTTAGCGATCCTGAATCAACCCTAGATATGAGAACGACTAAAGATGGTAACTGCCCTCCCTGCCATCAGAACTGCTTACGCCAGGTCTTTGGGTTGGCAACCTTCTTGTTCTGCTACACATTTTGAATTGCGTTCGATTTGTTTTACCTTATTGTCCTGTGCGTCTCATCGTGCTGCACCCCACATGTGAATCGGTGTTTGAATGATGCCCAGATGTGCGAAACACCCTATATCTATTCTCCTGCAACTTCTTATACACTGACGACGTGCAGTTATTCGGCTCCACTGTAGCAGAGCGCGACCTCAATCCCGACCGTTTTATCCAGAGATGCGCTGATCAAAACATTAAACTGAAAGGTGACAAAGTTGAAGTTCGCAAATCTGAGGTAGTATTTCAAGCACACATTTTGGACTCCGATGGATTGAGACCTGATCCAGTAAAGGTCATTGCAATAAGAAATGCCACCCTTTACTGACGTGAAAGGAGTCATTCGGTTAAACAGAATGGTCAACTATCTGAGTCGCTTTTCACTGAGACTGTCAGAAACAATGTCGTACATACGTAAACTAACGCACAAAGTGGAAGACTGACACTAGGCGAAGAACAGGAGAAAGCATTTAATCAATTAAAATGTCTGGTCGCGGTTGCTCCAATATTCGCTTACGTTGATCCATTTCTGTCTATCGTGGTGTATTGCGATGATAATCAGCATGGACTTGGAGCGCTGTTAATGCAAAACGGAAAGCCTCTTGGTTTTCGAAGTTGGATTTAACACTAGCTGAACGTTGCTATTCACAAATCGAGAAGGAGATACTCTCAATCACGTGTGCGCTTTATCGCTTCAACGATTACACTTTCGGGCGAAAGACCTCTGTATATACAGATCACAAGGTATTGGTGTCAATCGTCAAAAAGCCACTCCATCTTTTGCCGTGTCGCCTCCAGAGGGTGTTCATACAGCTTCTTAAACACGCTTTGGAAATCGTCATCCAGCCTTTGAAACAACTGTACACTGCAGATGCGCTGTTGAGAGGCAATCTTTCGAGTGCAGATGCAATGCGAGAGGACCTCGACACGGTTCACGCGACACAGCAACTTGCCGTCACCGAAGAGCGTTTACAACCACTTAGACGTTGCACAGACAAAGATACAGATTGCAAAACTTTAGAACAAACAATAGCTTATGGATGACCAGAGGATAATTGAGGTTTGCTGGCTGTACTGGCATCGTTTTTCCATTTTCGTAATGAACTCGTAGAAAACGGTTTGCTCTTCGGAGGAAATCTAGTGTTACTCCCAAAAACGATGCAATGCACCTTGCTGGTGATGATTCACGGTGCACACTTGGGAGTGAAAAATTGCGTCACAGGAGCCAGGAGGCTAATATTTTCGCCTCGCATGGCTTGTCAGCTTCGTGTCGAACTGCCCAGCTTGTCGTGCACATGACCTTGGGCAAACGAAAGAACCAATGGCGCTTCGAGTCGTTTCGGAAAGGCAGTGTTAGAAAGTGGGCAATTTACCTGTTCACCCACGACGGAAGGGATTATTTAATCACTTTAGATTACTTCGTTGACTATTTTGAGATTGATGCAATGCTCTCGACGAGTGCTAATGACGTGGGAAACAAGCTGCGCGGTTCTTTTGCTCGACATGGAATCCCTTGGGAAGCAGTATCAGACAACGGACCACAGTTTGCTGTTGATGAGTTTCGACCTCTCAGTCAGAAGTGGGAATTTGATCATCACTGCTTAGCCTTTACCACAGTTATTCGAACGGAAAAGCTGAAGCAGCGCTGAAGAATGCTGAGAGAATACATTTTTTATACACTCTAGCTGCAGATGGAAAACATCTCAGCTATGGTGTAAGAACACTATATATAATGCTTTTAGAACGAATAAACACTTTGTCTCCTGAAATCGAAGTGGGCTCTGTTCGATGTTTATTTAGCCGTAGAACGAGAACTTCGTAGCTCGCGGCCAAAATCCTTCTCCTACCGGAAGCACAATCCCCAACGATAATGCATGACTGTTTGGAAAAACGAATGCTTAGTCAGAAACCGTATTATGCTCGCGGATCTAAAGAGTTACTAGCACTGGGTTGGCCAAGAGGTATGGATATAATTGGTGTTTGGCACAGTAAAACCATGGAAGAGAGGAGTGGTGAAAACGCGGGTAGAAGAAAAAACTTATGTAGTCAAGGTGGGAAAGGGTTTGTGACGGCGAAACCGCATTCACGGGAGACAGAATCTGCCGACCACTGTGACGATGAAGGAGCGACAAAACCAGCAGGAAAGCAGATGTGACGGAGATGATAGAGAGAGGACACAGCGCAGGAGCGTAGGTAGTTTCAACTCTGACGGAGCTCAAACGGAGAAAAGTAAGGGTGTGATATGCGCATGGTACTTGCAGCTGTTTGTATTCACTTATGCATTTGGTACGGACAGGCAAGAGTCCACTCGATCGATTGTCCGCCGCCAGTCGACCAGCACCGCTTACGCACGTGATCGAGAATCGCTTTGTAAACCCGCACGGCCAACTAGTTCGATCGATGCCAATTTTGAGCCAAAGGCAGCCAATCAAGGAAGAGAAAACCGGGGTCGCTTAACGCAGCGTAGATTACCATATAAATAGTAGGTTGCATTCTGGTCCGAATAGCTTCTGATCGCATCCCAGTCTTTTTTTGATTCTCGGAGGGCGCTACCCGACAGATATCACTCTCTTACGTTATGTCGTTTACGCTTTTCGTGACACAATCTTGTTGATTTTCATCTCTGCATTGCTTGTTTCACTTCATGCTGACTACCCATTGAATACTGGAGCTGGGAAACGTTTCATACATCTGGCTCTACTGTCATTACTTCCTTGTCTACGCTTTCAGCGATACCCAAACAACCGTCGAAGCGATCATGACAATTCGAAAAGGCATGTACGTCCCTTTGCTTATTTTCGTGTTCCCATCTTGTCTCGGTCGAAATTCATCTGGTTATCATTTTTTATTCGTATACCCAAGCCAACTTTCCAATCCACTTGAGCTGTGTGCTCTCCTATATTGTGCATACCAATACCAAATGAACTCTGTTTGAATGCGAGCGCTTGTATGTAGCACACAGTTTCGGCTTGGACAGCTGGGTAGTATCATGCCCTCTGACTAACCTAATGCACTGTTCTACATTGTGTTTCTCTGCTGCTGTTTTTCTCACAATCATGCAACTTCACCACACCATTCGTGTTATCCGTTACCTGTTTTTCATTATCATGAACCTATCTCCGATGCCTGTTTCACAGAGAACCACGGGGTTCATACCGTGGTCTTACTTCGACCGTGATCCTTGTTCCGTTTGCTGTGCTTCAGCTTATGATCATTCATGTAGATTGGCAACAGACCGGTCCAACACGTGCCCTGGATTTTTTCCATGCTTATATCTCCCGTCTTTTTAAAACCCTATTTCATGACCCTTACACTGTGTCATCCCTCACTGACCTCAGAGTCACATATCATCTGCGTCTTCCTGACGATTCAGAAGCACCCTTAGTGGATGTGACTGGGTGGTAGGTGTAGTACTACAATGCAACGCTGAGTCCGCAGTGCTGAACTGGTTGCCGATTAATAACTAACTGTAGTTTGTATTCGGATTCATGCGAAATCAACTGGCCTCGGGAGGATAGACACTTGTTTGTGATCTCAACGTACGCTCCGGATGACTAAAGCAGTCAAGGACGACTTTTATGTAGAACTTTCTCTCCTCTTGAGTAGTGCTAACAAAACTGGTGTCATTTATTTGGTCCATCGGGTGTCGGTTTCGGTGTATGTGTTGGCCTCCTGTTACCATGCGAAGGTCGACTTGGTGGTCACTAGTCGCTGGGCGAGAGCCACTTACATAATGAAGACAACTGTCTGTTTCTCCCAGGCACCAGATACAGCTGCACGAAGTAAGGTTATATAATTTGGCGTCCACCTTCACTAGTATAGGCGTGTTCTCAAATTGGCCACATTGCAGTCAGCTTTAGATGGCTGGGCAGCTTGCAGAACTGAAGGTCATTTTGATCCACATTCATTGACTCAGATCACGCACGCAGTTACAATTTACCACAAGATACTGAACAACGCTGGACCTCTATGCGGACAGCAATAATCACTTCTGGGCGATCGAGCTGAGATCTACCTCAAACTGCTCGCTCTTTGCAACTTTCTAATCGCTGCACATATATCCTGACTGATTAAAGAGGTGTAGTAGGGGAGTTGAATGGTCTTGGTAGAAATTCGTCACATCTAGACTTACTCACAAGTCATCACACGCCCGGAAAAGCACTGTACGCGCCTTTCATCCTTTTGGGAATCGTCAGCATTGCGCATTCCATCGGACCCTGGTAGGGCTCGAACCCGCAACTCGACTGTTGCCAGTCTGTGGTTGAGATCACTGAGCTACGGGAGACGGCAACGACCATCGTGAATAAGTTACTAGATGTGATATAGCACCGCTTACTATCCACTGACTTGCACGTTACTACCGTGCAGAGGACAGGGAAGCCCCCTCACCAAGCGATGAACTTTCCAAACCTAAGCCGCCAATTAACCTGTGGCATTATAAGCAGTTTGGTCTGCGTACTGACTACAGAGGATTAATAGGAGGAGTTGAATTGTATAGGTAGAAATAGTGAGTGACGCTATACCACGTCTAGTAACTTGTGCACGATGGTCGTTGCCGTCCCCCATAGCTCAGTGATCTCAGCCACAGGCTGTTAACAGTCGCGTCGGTGAATTACGCACTGCTTATGATTCCCGAAAGGATGGAAAGCGCATGCAGTGCTTTTCCGGGCTTGTGATATCTGTCTGTCTAGATATGACGAATTTCTACCTATATTCTGACTGAATTAGATAACAATGTACGACCCAGCTCTGTCGCCTTAAAGCTCAAGCAAAGGCTGCGCAATGATCGTGTGGCTTCTTGATCTGACTTTGCTACGCAACTAGAAACTACTTCCTTCTCTGACATTAATCCTAAGGTTTTCAAATTCATTCTGTTCACTAGTCTCAAGAAGCTCGGTGTCGATGGCGTGATTTGCGAGGCAAATGTGTGTGCGATCACTAACTACCAACGGCGTTTGAACCACTTTGCTTAGCGCTTTCCCTCGCATTTCAAATGTCTCCCAATTCCCATCTATCAGCTGCCTATCCTGACTTATTCCACTATATCCATCCAACGAAGCGGATGTCTGATTTATGATCTAACACTTCGAGTGATTTAAGACTGCCAATTCAGATGGACTTCCTTCTAAGCGCCGTTATCATCAGCCAACTGACCTCATTGTTCTCCAAAACTTGGTATGGCGTCACAGGCGCTTAAGATAGTTGGACAACGCGTGGCACCTCGATCCACAACCTTCGAGAAAATTCCAACGACGGACGATGAACTGGAATTGGTACACGACCCTCGGACAGTCGGGGAGCCACAGTCAATGGAAAATTGCGGTTCTATTTTACAAACAGTAGAATATCGTGATCGCATCACACTCCCACAATCTCTTCAACAAATGAGTACACCGTTACCCGTTACAAATTACCTAACGATCCAGCTTTACCTATGTAGCACAAGTAATTGACGCTGACGCCGATATATGTAGCAAGACATGATTACACCAACGAACCAATGAAGAAACGAAATTTCAGGAGTCCAGCCACCTAAGACTACGAAAATTCTGTTGGCGGACACGTAACATTGACATAAGGATGTGAATCAGTGACGTAGTAACTACATTTGCCTCCCAGGGCGTTGGTACAAATTTTCGCCCCCCCCCTGGCAGTTGCGAATCCATATACCCTCAACATAGACTTAGGGTAGTGCATCTTGGTTTTCGTTGAAATGGATGATCGTTTTGGACAATGAGTTAAATGTGATGAAACTGACCACAAGGGGACAAGTAGGGGACTCAACTGGGAAGAACGTTTACACAAGTGTGACACATGGCGCCAAGGTGTTGTTGGTCATACCAAGTAAAATTAAAATCTACCCTCAGCTCATTTGGAAATTTTGCCCAAATATGTTTGGTATCGAACAAACAAAATGATACTTATAATGCCGCCCAGAGCGGACCGCTTCCTACCTACCCGCCCTTCCTACGCCTCTGATGGGAACACATGTTGAGCCGTAACCTTGGTCACAATGATAGTATATTAACCTGTCACCTAACGGGGCCTACGAATCGGCTGTTGCTGTTTCTTCTTGGAACATCGTTTATTTTCTGCCATCTACTGTGGATTTAACAACTTTTTGTTTCGCTCACGGGGATCCAATCAACCAACGATGACCCAATCTTGGAGCTGCGACCGATGCCCACTTCTGCTTGACCACTGATTATCGCATCAACATTCCTGTATACATGTAACCAATAGCTAGCGGACACATCAGGTGTAGTTAGTTCAACAACCACATGAGGATCAAGGATCCTAGGTTCGGACATGTAACACATGTCGAGACCCAGCGTGTCCAGCGCGCACTCGGTTGACCTATTTGTCTTAGAGTGCCAACGTTGAACGCCGCTAGGAAACCGGGAGAACGTCACCTTATAAGGAGCTGTTGCCTCTAAGCGCCCAAGTTCTGTTGGATAGCTGGTTAAAGTTTCGAGCTAGGTTGCCAACAGAAATACGGCTAAAGGCAGCAGGCGAACGACCAAAAGTCGGAAGAAATTCGATGGAACTTGCAAATCCTGCAAATTCTTTATTTGCACAGTCCTTCGGAGAGATCGACACAACAGCGCCCACGTCACACAGGAGGACCGAGCACAGCACGAGTGAACCATCAGTTCAGGAACGCTCAATAATGTCATGTAACACGACTGAAATACACAAACCAAAAACGATTAATTGCCGGCCACCTAACGGCCGGCTTAAAAGCGAACACAAACTTGACATCCACCAATGAACTCCTAACCACAAAAGCCCTATCTTGCATGCACACAAACGCTCAAGGCCTTCGAAGCAAGTTGGCCGAACTTAGAGAACTCTATGCCTCACAACCACGAGACCTCGTCATGATTACAGAGACATGGTTAAACCCTGAGATAACCGACTGTGAGATCAAGTTACCCGGTATGTCGCTGCTTCGGACCGATAGAACCGGAATGGGTGGCGGTGTGATTCTTTACTATAATACAAGTCTCCGATGTGAAGTTATCGATCACCCAGAAATCCGAGCTCCCGATTCGCTTTGGTGCCGCCTTTGGTTGCGAAACAAGGACACATGTCTACTAGCCGTGGTTTATCGCCCGCCAAACTCAACGTCGGAAATGGACTCCAAACTGTACCACGTTTTTCAGTTTGCTTTGAACAATCCCTACACCCACATTCTTATCGCGGGAGACTTTAACGTGCACGACATAGAAACGCCGGCAACTGACGGTACGCAGTTTAAAGCCTGTTTGCAAGAACTTATTGCTATCCACCCTCTTTACAACCACGTAACCTCTCCCACCAGATTTCGAACTTCTAACAAGCCGTCGATACTAGATCTTGTGCTAACTAACGAAGAACTCATGGTTGGCGGGATAGTTACAAGCACACCACTGGGTCGTAGTGATCATGTCACTCTACACTTTGATTATATATGCTATGCCGAGTACCCGGAAAAGGAGGAGGATAAAGTGCACACTGTCACGCACTACAATGTGTTGTCCAATCTTGTTAAGGATACATCTTGGACTTTCTTATTCGAATGCCCCCCAGATTTGGCCTGGGATATGTTTACAAGGACTTTGAGCACACTGGTAGCGCAAGCATCGGAACAGAAGTCCTTCCAACCCAAAAACCAGAGTAAGTCAATTCTGAGGAGCAGAACACGTAAATGTATGTCCCGGAGGGATTTGGCATGGCGAAATCACCAGGGTTGCCCGAATGCCGAAACCTGGACTGCATACGTGACACATCGTAAC